AGTGGCAAGCTTTGGGGTTTTAGCTGGTTAGACCCCAGCGGTTATCCCCCCCCCCCGCCCACCCCTCAACTCACACTCTGGGTTCCTCCCCAGAGAGAGAGAGAGAGAGGAGAGAGGGGGAGAGAGAGCGGGAGAGAGCGCGCGCTGTCTGGCAAGCTTTCCCGCTGCTTGTCCAGTTGGACCATTCCATCCGCTGGGAACCATTCAATTTCCCTTTCGCAGTTTTGTAAGTAAAACAGTTGGTCTCTTAACGCTGTCGTGTTGCCTCGTGGACTCCCGTCTCTCCAGCCGCCCGTTCTCTCTTGCAGGAGCTCCGCTCGCGGTACTCGCGGTCTGGATCATTTCGAAGCTGAAAGTGGATAACGTGGGGTAAGCGGCCGTCGGTCACGACAACGAGGAATTTGTTTGGGTTTTGGTCAAAATGATCACATTTTATAGAATTATCATTATTATTATTATTATTATCATTACTATAAAATACAGCATCAACGGTCAGTTCCCTCAGCCTCCCTGCTCCCACCCTCTGGAACTCCATCCCACAGTCCCTCTGCCTCGCCCACTACCTCCCTCCCTCCCTCCCTCACCTCCTTCGAGACCCTCAAAACCCTCCTCCTCGACCAACCGCGCCTTCGGTCACCCTCCTACCGCCCTCCCCTCTCCGCCCTCCACCCCCCTCCTGAACCCGACCCCCACTTGGGACATCCTCCCGGATTGAAAGGCCCCCATTACGCATGTCATTTGGTGTTTGAGCTGTTTGAGACGTCCTATAACCGAATGTAAGGATTATTATTATTATTAATCGGAGGTTGATGTCAGTGGGGGGGGGGGGAGTGGGTGTGGGGTGGGGGTTGGGGCTAAGAAAGTTAGACAGAAAATGCTACGTTTTTCTATTGCCTTTTGTGGACCATCTGTTTTACGTTCTGGCATTGCTTCTGTTGCTAGATGTTGGGATGACAATGAGAACGAATATATCTGGTGGATTATAAGAGGAGCCATATTGTTTGCAGTCTTGGTACGTAACTAGTATAGTGTTTTATCTCCCCTCCCCTCCCCTCCTCTCCCCTCCCCTCCTGATCCCAACCACCAGCTCAGGTGCAGATCCCTGACTGTCCAGGGCCTTCGGATGTCCTCCCAACGTGAAAGGCGCTGTACTTACACAGCTGACTGGGCCCCGAGTAGGGGTGATAAGACCTTATATGTGATCCATAAAAGATGTATAATAATAATTACATCCCATCCGAAGGACGACAACTCCGGCAATGCAACACGCGCCCCAGCGCTGCATTGGGGCCTCAGCTTAGACTGTGTGGTTCTGACCGTGTGGGGCTTGAACCCACAACCTTCTGACTCAGAGGCGAGAGGGAGAGCGAGAGAGAGAGAGAGAGAGCGAGAGCGCTATCAACTGAGCCAGGCTGACATTAGCTAAAGACTGTGTGTGAGTGGGTGGGGTGGGCAGAGTGAGATGGCCGTAAGTGTGGTCAGAGGGACATGTCTTTGAAAGTGTGGATGGGGGAGAGGGGGAGAGGGAGGGTGGTGGGTGGGGAGGTGGGGGTGGGCTGAGGTAGAGGGACTCTGGGATGGAGTTCCAGGGAGTAGGGGCTGAGAGAGAGAGAGAGAGAGAGTGAGAGGGTGTAAAAAAGTGTGGGCAGACAGTTACCTGTACTGAAATGTTGAATTATTTCGCTCTCTGGGTTTGCGGAAGATCAACTTTATGATATTTCTGAACATCATCCGAATTCTGGTGGAGAAACTGAAATCGCAGGATGCGGGAGGCAATTCTTCAACCCCTTTCTCGTAAGTAAATCCCATCGCAACGCAGGAACAGTGGGAATACAGTGAGGAATTGAGACCTGGGAATTATAATAATAATTGACACGATTGACCGGGACCCTGAGTGTCAGTGCTAAGACCTGAGACATAACGTACAAAAGATGTATAATGATAATGATGGTAGTCCCGGCATTTGATACGGCGCCTGATCACGTCTTCGAGACGTCTCAACTTCACAGGATACACTGTAAAGTGAATTGACTGTGTATTTTGTGGGCGAAACGCGGGAGCCGATGGCGCACAGCAGCGTCCCCCACAAACAGCCGCGGGTTGAGCGGCCAAAATATTACTAGTATTTTTTTTTTGGGGGGGAGGGATTATTACATCTGGAAAGCGATCGCCAATCGACTAACAGCCGGTTCCTACTGACTGCCGGTAAACAGAGGCGAGTGCTCTAACCACTGAGCTGGGGGGGGGGGGGGGGGTTGGGATCAAGAGGGGATGGAGAGCAGGGTGGGTGGAGGTTAGGAGGGTGACCAAAGGCACTGCCGAACACCGGATACAAGTTAATATAGAAGGGGCACCCGGGGAGAGAGAGGGAAACTCGTGGGAAGCACCTTCTGACCCAGCTCCGAGGGGGTTAGCAACTGAGCCAAACGTGACAGGTTTACGGGCAATAATCCAACACAGAACCCTTTGTTTTCAGGAGATTGACTAAAGTCCACTCTGCTTCTCATCCCTCTGTTTGGGGTCCATTACATCCTGTGTGTCTTCTTCCCGGACAGCATGGCAGAGGAACTGAGATTGTTTATCGAGATTGGGATGGGATCCTTTCAGGTAATCAGAAAAAAAAAAAAAAAATCATCGTCGCATTTGACCCGGTGCCTCATCGCGTCTTCGAGACGTCTCAAAGCGCTTCACAGGATATAACGTAAGGTGAATCGAACGTATCTTTTGCGGGCGAAACGCAACAGCCAATCGCGCACAGCAGCGTCCCCACGATCAGCCCCACCCCCCCTCCCCGCCCGCCCCCCACCCCCCACCGGGAATCGAACCCTCTCGCTTGCGAGGCGAGTGCTCCCGAACCAATACGCTACAGGACTCTCCCCAGATAGAGGTCCAAGTCTCCCCAAACACATTCCATCTTTATCTTCCAGGGTTTTGCTGTGGCTCTGCTCTACTGCTTCCTGAACGGAGAGGTGAGGAATACAAACTGACCGCCCGGCACCTTCGAGGAGAAACTAGGGATTTCTGCACGGAAGGAGGCCCATGATTCAGCCCATCGTATCTGTGCTGGGGCTCGCTCCCCCACTGGAGCTCTCTACTCTAACCCCATTCCCTGCTCTCTCTCTCTCTCTCCCCCCATGGTGTCTGTGCTGGGGCTCGCTCCCCCGCTGGAGCTCTCTACTCTAACCCACTCCCTGCTCTCTCTCTCTCTCCCCCCATCGTGTCTGTGCTGGGGCTCGCTCCCCACTGGAGCTCTCTAACCCCATTCCCTGCTCTCTCTCTCTCTCCCCATCGTGTCTGTGCTGGGGCTCGCTCCCCACTGGAGCTCTCTAACCCTATTCCCTGCTCTCTCTCTCTCTCTCTCTCCCCATCGTGTCTGTGCTGGGGCTCGCTCCCCCACTGGAGCTCTCTAACCCCATTCCCTGCTCTCTCTCTCTCTCTCTCTCTCTCCCCATCGTGTCTGTGCTGGGGCTCGCTCCCCCACTGGAGCTCTCTAACCCCATTCCCTGCTCTCTCTCTCTCTCTCTCTCTCTCCCCATCGTGTCTGTGCTGGGGCTCGCTCCCCACTGGAGCTCTCTACTCTAACCCCATTCCCTGCTCTCTCTCTCTCTCTCTCTCTCTCTCCCCATCGTGTCTGTGCTGGGGCTCGCTCCCCCACTGGAGCTCTCTAACCCCATTCCCTGCTCTCTCTCTCTCTCTCTCTCTCTCTCCCCATCGTGTCTGTGCTGGGGCTCGCTCCCCACTGGAGCTCTCTACTCTAACCCCATTCCCTGCTCTCTCTCTCTCTCTCTCTCTCTCCCCATCGTGTCTGTGCTGGGGCTCGCTCCCCCACTGGAGCTCTCTACTCTAACCCCATTCCCTGCTCTCTCTCTCTCTCTCTCTCTCTCTCTCCCATCGTGTCTGTGCTGGGGCTCGCTCCCCCACTGGAGCTCTCTACTCTAACCCCATTCCCTGCTCTCTCTCTCTCGCCCCATCGTGTCTGTGCTGGGGCTCGCTCCCCCATTGGAGCTCTCTAACCCCATTCCCTGCTCTCTCTCTCTCTCTCTCTCCCTCCCCATCATGTCTGTGCTGGGGCTCACTCCCCCACTGGAGCTCTCTACTCTAACCCCATTCCCTGGTCTCTCTCTCTCTTCATCGTGTCTGTGCTGGTGCTGACCACTGTAAGGCCTTCTGCCCTCTGTTCCACCGTTGGTGGGCTTGCTTACAGCTACTAAGCCCCGAAACTCTGGAACACTCTATCCCTCTATCCCTGTGCCTTGCCCCCTCTTTCCCCATCTTCTGGGCCTCTGCCTTGTGTGAGGGATTGGGGTGGTGGTGGGGAGAGGGTCGGGGGGGGCTATATATAGTTATTGTTACTGTAAGGACTATCCTCCTTTCTGCCCAGGTGCTGACGGAGTTGCAGAAGCACGTAAACTGGTGGCACTCGCTGAGATATCTGACCTTCAGCCCGAAACCTGCCAGGAACCCTTCCACAGAGAGCAGCACCAACAACTTTGTCACTCAGATGTCTCTGCTCGAAAAACTCAGCCCCAAGAGAAAGGCCAACGACAACCAACATGGCATCTCCTGCGTGTGAGAGGCTCGCGCTCAAGCCCTGAGCTTCGTGCGCGGAAATGGAGGACAGGAGCCGGTCAGCTGACTTCCTCACCTCCCTCCTCCCTCCCAACCCCCCTCTCTCCCACGCCCCCCACCCCACCCCCCAATAAATAGTAATAATTAATAATAATAATAATAATAATAATTCCTGCATTGACAGCACCTTTCATATCAGGAGGAGGACGTCTCAAAACACTTCACGGGATGTACTGCAAAGAGTATATGTTTGGAGGTGAATGAGGTAACCAGTTGATACACAGCCCAACCTCCCACATAGGAAACCACAGGTCAGTCTTGAATTTGCCCCCCAACTCCCCCCAACTCCCCCCCCCACACCCCTCCCTCAATCACAGCTGTCACTTTGGCTCAATTGCTAATCCGCTCGGAGTTGGGTCAGAAGGTCCTTCCCATCTGCTGTTCAGGTGGATGTTAAAGTTCCTGCGGCGCTATTCGTAAAGAGAAGGGAGTTTCTCTGTTTTATTTGTGTGTGTGTGTGTGTGTGTGTGTGGTGGGGGGGAGAGGGGGTGGGGGTGTGTGGGGGGAGAGGGGGTGGGGGTGTGTGGGCGGTTGGGGGAATGATTACGGACAAAGGATGTTAACAGCTGACAAAGGCGTAAAAATAATAATAATCCTTCCGTTTGACACAGCGCCCCATCCCGTCTTCGATTTGTCTCAAAGCGCTTCACAGAACATACTGTAAGGCGTAGTGACTGTGTGTTTTGCGGGCGAAACGCGGCAGCCGATTGGGGCACAGCCGCGTCCCCCACAGACAGCCGCGGGTTCAAGTGACCGATTTACTGTTGTCGTTCTTTTTTTTGGTGTGTGTATCTGTGGCTCGAGACTCACGATATCGTGTCATTTGTCTGTGGGAAAGAACACATATCCCCCCCCTCTCCCCCCACCCTCTCACCCCCACGTGCCCCCCCCCCCCCCCACCCGCACCCCCTCCACTTTTTGTCTCAATCACTTTTTACTCTGTGAACACTTTTCTTCTGTGTCCCTCTGTGTATCCCTTTTTTTTAAAATATATTTTTTGGACGAAAAACAAGACTTGTTATATCAGCGTTGTGTTAATTAATCGCTACCACTAATAAAATATTAATCCTTAGATTTGATATCGTTGCCTTTTATGGGCGGGGGAGAGGGAGGGGGGGGGGGGGGGAGGGAGCTATCTCACAGCGCCTCACAGAATTTACTGTAAAATGTCAAACAACAATAACACTCCCCGGCATTTGACGCAGCGCCTGATCACGTCTTCGAGACGTCTCGAAGCGCTTCACGGGATTCGCTGTCAAGTGAATTGTCTGTACATTTTGTGAGCGAAACGCGGCGGCCGATGGCGCGCAGCGGCCTCCCCCGCAAACAGACCCGGGGGTTGAGTGACCAAATTATTATATTTTTGTTTGGAAGCAATTATTAACCCTCTCCCAGAGAGCGAGGAAACTTACTTAAGGTCTCGCCCCGCCCGGGAATCGAACCCGGGCCCTCTGGCTTGCGAGACGACCGTGCTAACCGTTACGTGACGGGACTCCAAAGTCCTGACGTGGGGCTTCACGCCCGCAACCTTCTGCGCCCCCCCCCCCCCCGAGGCGAGAGTGCTACCATCCGAGCCAGGGTGGCACAGGGAGTGTCTGTCTGTCGCCGGTGCGGTGTAGTGACTGTTGCAGTGGAGCTGGTGCAGGGCACTGAGACTTTTAACACAGAGGAACATTTAATGAAATCGGTACAATCAATTCATCACCATTTTAAAAAAAAAACCTCTGATATGTACATCTACACACGTCACTTGTCCCTCCCTCCCCCCCACCTCCCTCCCCCCCACCTCCCCCCCTCCCCCCCTCCCTCCCTCCCTCCACCCCAAACCCTCCCCGAATGTAAAATAGCAAACGATAAAACAATAAATAACTGCTCGTAACATCTCCCGAGAAGCAACATCATCGTGAACACAGACTTCCGATAAGGAATGACAGCTGTACGGTGCTCGGGGCCGGTGTGGAGCTTTCACGATTAACATTAGCGCTCGCGATACCAGTCTTAATCGAGGGGTCTCCAACCCGTCGAATCACTGCTCGTAATCCTCGCCTTTGACACCCACGCCTTTGTGGCGGGGACGTCTCCAAGCGCTTCGCAGGAGCCGCCATGGCAAAGCGTAGTGACTGTACACTTTGTGGGGCGAGGCGCGGCTCCCGATTGCGCGCAGCGGCGTCCCACAAACAGTCGCGGGTTGATTTTTTACAGGAGGGGGGGGAACTATTACCCCCCGGAAAGCGATCCGCCAATCGACTAAACCTAGTTCCTACTGGGTAAACAGAGGAGTGTGGAGTAAGGAAACATGGCCGAGGTTTGCCCGGGGAATCGAACCCGGTTAGTCCTCTGGTTGCTCCGGGGACTCCACTTGCCCCCAAAACAAGAGGAAGGACCGATATTTATTGTAATCAGTGAGGTTTATCTTTTTGTTTCGAGCTGCAGGAAGCACTTTGTGCCTCTCTGACCTCCTTTTCGATCGGGCTCGATGACGACGCACAGAGCCATGGATCCTTCCTCTTGCCCTCCTGACCGTGTGCGCGAGAGCGCCCCCTAGTGCTCTCGTGTGACTGACCACTCACAGACCAGCACTCGGTCTGTAACTGCGCTCGCTAATAAGGCGTCACACCCGGCTTCGACCCACCCCACCCTCTGCCCACTCCTGTGGTTCTATTGCCCACTCAATGCCCCCCCCCACCCCACTCCCCATTCTCTCTCTCTCTGCTCTCCCCCAAATCAACCCTACTTTACATTTCCCCTCCTTTCCGCCAGTTTGTCTCCCTTCCCTCTCAACATTTGAAACCCATCTAAACATACACCCAAACTCCCCCCACCTCCCCCCCCCCCTCCCCCCCCAGCCCACGTGAACCGCTTCTCCTTGACACAAGGCATGCAAATAAGTGCAAACTGTTGTCGTCATCAACCCAACGTGAATGGTCACAATATCTTTCTGCGGTGGGAATGGGTGTGCGCAATAAAGTTGGGGGGGTGGGGGAGGGGGGGGGTCTGCATTTCACAACTCGCCCTCCCCTAATGGAATCTCCCCTCTTCCTCCCTTCACGCACAAAAGCTCCTGGCGCCCCCCTTCAAGCCATTCGTTAACCTGCCTGTTCACCAGAGTTGGCTGAACGGTCACCTCAAGGAACAGGAGGAGGCCATTCAGCCCATCGAGTCGGCGCTGGCTCTTTTAAGAGCAATCGTTTCCGCCCAATTAGATCTTTGAAACCCACTTCCCCATAACCCTTCAGTCCTCTCTTCTCAACCTCCCAAACCTCCATCCATCTCCCGTGGTTGAGACGTCTCAAAGCGCCGCACAGAGTATACTGTAAAGTGTAGTGACTGTGTGTTTTGTGGGCGAATTGCCCACAGCCGCGTCCCCGCAAACAGTCGTGGATTGAGCCAAGGACCAAACATCCCCACAATAAAGTTTGGCTTCTGCCGTCGAAAGCATTTGATCCCTTCCCCCCCACCCACCCCCCAACACCCCCAGCCCCCCACCCCCACCCCCCACCCCCTTTTTCCCCCAATGTAAAAAAGAAAAGGACATAGAGAGTTATTAGGCACAAGAAAAAGGTTCAAACCCCTCACGGGATTCTTCCCCGAAGCGGTCACAACAAAGACATCAGCGCCCACTTCAAATAGACTCCACACACGTACACACACAGCCCACGTTGCAGCTTAGACATCAGGTCAAACACTACACCCCAAATACGACAGTCAAACACCACTCCCACTTTGCTCCGTTATAGTTTGTGAACAATATCTATCATTGCTCCGACTGAGGATCGCGTCAGAAGATCCCACCTTTAAGTGACTCGTCTAACCTCGAGGTTTTAAGTTTATTCCTCCTCTGAGAATAACAACGATAATAATAGTAATAATAGTCCTTACGTTGGATTGAGGCGGCTCATCGCGTCATTCAGACGTCTCAAAGCGCTTCGCAGAAGATACTGTGAAGTGTAGTGACTGTGTGTTTTGTGGGCGAAACGCGGCAGCCAATTGTGCACGGGAGTATCCCCACAAACAGCCGCGGATTGAGCCGACTGAATGATATAATTATTTCTTTTTGGAGGGATTGCTATCCCCGGAAAAGCGATCTGCCAATCTGCCAAATTCCTACTTGCTGTTGGGTGATCACAGGCCCCGTGGAGTAAGGACACTTGCCTAAGGTTTGCCCCCCCCCCCCCCCCGGGAATCGGACCCGAGTCCTCTCGCTTGCGAGGCGAGCGCTCTAACCAATGTGCTAAAGAGGGAGACCGGTCTCATCTCTTTCTCTCTCACTGTCTCTCCGCGTATCTTTTTGATTGTGGTTAGCGTGTCCCACACTAAACCTCCCCGGCACCTCTCTAACCTTCTCTGACCAGCTTTCTCACCCCCCCCCCACCCCACTCCACTACCTGTTTCCTCCGCTCGGTCCCCTCCGGCCTCCTGCTTGTCCCTCGTCCCCTCCGCTCCACCATCGGCGGCTACACCTTCACCCCCCCACCCCCACAGAAGCTTTGGAACTCCCTCCCTCAATCCCTCGGTCTCCTCCATCACACCTCCCGCCCAACGCAGCTGAAACTCTCATCCATGAGTCACTTCCTACCTTGATACCCTCTCGCTCCCCCGTCTCCCCAGCTCCAACAGTTACAAAATCCCCAAACCCTCTCAAAACTCCGCTGCCCACATCCTCACCCATCATCAAACTCCATACCCCCATCACTCCAGCCCTCTCCAGGCTCCCCAGCCCTCTCCAGGCTCCCCAGGCCTCCCCAGGCTTCCTCAGCCCTCTCCAGCCCTCTCCCAGCCCTCTCCCGGCCTCTCCAGCCCTCTCCCAGCCCTCTCCCAGCCCTCTCCCAGCCTCTCCAGCCCTCTCCCAGCCCTCTCCCAGCCCTCTCCAGCCCTCTCCCAGCCTCTCCAGCCCTCTCCCGGCCTCTCCAGGCTCCACTTGGCTTCCCTATCTCAGAAAAGATCGATTTCAAGATCCTCTTCATCAGATCACTTCATGCCCTGCCACCTCCCTACCTCTCAGACCCCACTCCCCTCCCTCTACCCCTTTTTTTTGGGGGGGGCCTTCTGTACGTCCCTCCGTTCCAATCATCAGTGGGTCCGTGAGATCAGCCAGTGTTGCCTGAACCTCTTGAGCTACCCTCCATATCCTCCCTCTCTCTCTGCCTGTCTGCAGTTGGCACCTGAAGACTTTCCTCTTCCACCTTGTCTACGGTCACCTCTTCTTTCTCCCACACGCTTCCACCCCCCCCAAACCCAACCCACCCCACCCCACCCACCCGACTAGGTATCGAACCACCCCCATAGTTAACAGCAACAAGAAATCTCTTGTATAAATGACATCGGGAGGGCCGTCCCAAGGCAATGGGTTTGCACTCAAGCTGGGGATGGATTTGAGGAGGTGGGGGTGTGGTGGGGGGAGAGGGTGGGTGTGGGGGGGTGCGGTGGGGGTGAAGGGGTCTGGGGGAAGGGGAGCAAGTACAGACGATACACCACACAGCTCGCCATGCTACTGATTAACTGGTATTCCCGGCCGGAGACGAGGGGAGGAGGCTGACTGTACCTGCGGCGCTTGACAGGCTGAGACCCGGCGGCAAAAAAAATATTAGCCTCTCTTTGTGGTTCATCTTAAAAACAGCCAGAAACTCGCGATAGGTTAAGTGGAAAGAGGGAGATATTCTACCAAGTGGGGCGGTGGTGGGTGGGTGGGGAGAGGGGGGAAGAGGGGAAGGAGGGAGCTGTTGAGAGGAGGAAGAGGAGGAGAGGAGGAGAGGGAGAAGGGTGTCTGGATTGTCTCTGTTTTGGTGGCATTTTCACTGCCAAACCGTGGCATTTCTGTCTTGGCTTTTTGGGAAGGTTTTCCGCAGTCTGAAGGCTTCGAGCCTTGGGTCTGATGCGGCGCCTTTCGTGCCGCGGGATTCACTGTAAGGTGCAGTGACTGTGTGTTCTGTGGGGGGAAACGGGGGAGAAACATTTGCGCAGGCCAAGGTTCCCCCTCCCCGCTGAACGCGAGATTTTATCTGGGGGTGGGGAGGGGAGTGGGGGAGTGGGGGGGGGGGGAAGGCGAGGACACAGGGGATAGAGAGAAACTCCCTCCTCTTTTCGAGCAGCGAGAGCTTTAACGTCCACCTGAACGGGGACAGGTGATGGGGAGATGGATGTAACGTCTTGTCAATGGCACCTCCGACAATTCAACTCTCCCCCATTTCCACCCCTCACACCGCCTCCCCCCCTTGCCATTTCCACCCCCCGCCCCACCCGGCACTGCTCTGGAGCGGTGGCCGAGGAGGACATGATTAAGAATCTGCCGAAAGGAAATGCTACTGATATTAATAATAATAATAATAATAATCCTTCCACGCGGTGCAGCCCCTCATCACGTCGTTGAGACGTCTCAAAGCGCTTCACAGACCTTAACTGTCAAGCGAATCGACCGTGGGGGGGGGGGGCGAGACGTGGCAGCCAATTGACCACAGCAGCGCCCCCCCCCCCCCAAACAGTCGGGGATCGAAGGGGCCGAAGGGGTGAATATCAGCCAATCGACTGACAACCGGGTTCCTGACTGACGTTGCTTTAGGTAAACACGTCCTCTCCACGTCACCACCAAAGGGCCAATATTTACAGGATGGAGTGAAAAATATCATCATTATCCTCCCCCCACCCACCCACCCACCCACCTCCCCCACCGACCTCCCCCACCCACCCGCAAACACCTTAGGGCAGTGGCAATACCAGCGGAGTAGGGGGGTGGGAGCGGGGCAAGGATTAAGCGGGGGACATGGGTTGGGATAGGGTGGGGGTGGAAGGGTGGAGGCAGAAGGGGAAAGGGGACACACCCACACCCACACACACACACACAGGGGGAAAAGTGGGGGCGGGTGGGGTGGTGGGGGGGGTCAAGGATTCAAACAGCCAGGTTTTCGGCGTTGATGCTGGACATGCGGATCTGCGAGCTGCTCTTGCTGAGCACGGAGAGTTGAGTGCCGCCGTTGACCCCACTGCTGGCCAACGAGGGGTGACGGTGCTTGAAGTCAACAGCAAAGTATCGGTTCACCTTCCAGCTTCTCCACTTGCGCTTGATCTCAGACTGTACCTTCAGGGAGAAACTTAGACATGTCATTCGAATGTGTGTATGCATAATCCAACGTCTACAGACAGTTAATAATAATAGTAATAATAATACTACTATTAATCCCGGCCTTTGACACGGCGCCTTTTCTTCCGGACGTCTCAACGCGCTTCACAGGATACACCGTAAGCTGAAGTGACTGTGTGTTTTGTGGGCAAAACGCGGCAGCCGATCGCGCGCAGCGGCGTCCCCCGCAAACAGCCGCGGATTGAAGTGACCGATTTATTATTTTCTTATTTATTATTACCCCGGAAATGCCATCCGCCAATCGACTAACAACCGGGTTCCTACTGACTGCCGGTAAACAGAGGCGCGCGTGTGTGTGTGTGTGTGTGTGTGTGTGTGTGTGGAGTGAGGAAACTTGCCCAATATCTCGCCCTGACCTGCCCGGGAATCGAACCCGGGTCCTCTCGCTCGCGAGGCGAGGGCTCGAACCCCTGAGCTCCAGGGACTCCACAATACCGGATATCCGGGTTTTTACCGTATCTTAGCCTTCACAGAGAATCTCTTACCTCCCCGTTGAGGAAACAGTAAAGAACGGCTACGACAAAGCCCTGGGAGAGAAAAGTCACAGCAGTCAGTGAGGAAGGACACAGCACAATCAAACACAATGCTTACACCTCCCAACAACAACAACAACTTGCATTCACGTAGCGTCTTTCACGTCGGGAGGACATCCCAGGGGGGCTTTGGCATCCAAGGGTTTGCATTTGAGCTGGGGTCAAAGAGGGCTGGGGGGGGTGGGGGGGCGGGTGGAGTGGGAGAGTGGCCGAAGGCTACGGTCAAAAGGGAAGAGGTCTTGAGAAGGGTCTTGAAGGGGGCGAGGGAGGTGGCGAGGACTGGGGAAAGAAATTTCCAATGGGTGGGGGTGGAATGGCATAAGGCCCAATGCCAATGGTGGGTCGGGCAGGGCGGGAAGGTGGGCCAGTGCCCGCCGAACAGTGGGAATGACCTGGAGTTACCTAGAACTTATCTCTGTATCAGACCGAGAGTTCTATTCATCCGATCTACATGGGAAATCCTTGCGTGTCGGATTGGAATCTCTCCCTGGAGGGACGCACCTCGCGCACCTAACTCTGGAGAGTAATAAGCGCGGGTTGGTGAGAGCCAAGGCTTTGGGTGGGGGGGGCTCGTAGGGTTAACAGGAGCTGAGTGGAAGGATTCCTTGATAGCCTCCGGGGACTGGTCTGCTCTTCCAAGTCCTGCTGTTGGCTATCAACAGCAATGCCCTGGAATACTGTGGACCATTTTTTATTTGGTGGGGAGGGTGTAGGGCATTGCGGGCCAGGACACCTGGAGGAACTCCTTTCTCTTTTCCAACAGTTTTCCACGGGATCTTTAAGGCGTCTACCGATCGACGCAACAACACAACCGGGGTTCCTACTGACTGCTGGCGCGCGTGTGTGTGTGCGTGTGTGTGTGTGTGGAATAAGGAAACTTGTCCAATGTTTCGACCTGACCCGCCTGGGAATTGAACCCAGGTCCTCTGGCTTGCGAGGCGAGGGCTCTAACCACTGAGCCGCAGGACCGCGCAGGTGACGGACGGGAGCTCAGATGGACGTCTCAGCTAACGGCCTTGTACCCAGTTACCTGAAAGGATCCTAATCCTAGCTCAAACACCAGGCGTTCCCTCGTGTTCACATCCTCAGGGTAAAACGCAAAGACCGTGTAGTGAATCCCAAAGAGAGGTATCAGGAGCAAAGTCGATCTGGCCAGCCTCCTGTTTACAGGCGTCAGAGACACACAGCGAGAGCGAGAGAGAGAGAGAGAGACAGAAAGAAAGAAACAGAGAGAGAGAGAGAGAGAGAGAGAAACTGTAACAGAACCACGATTTTTTGACACGGAGAGAAGCAGATTTTCTCTTTTGTGTTTTTTTTTCAGAAAAAAGGATAATAAAAACACGTTACAAACGACAAGACACACGATGCGGTTTAAGCTGGGAGGGGACTAATTTTTTTCCATTTCCTGTCACTTTGCCCCCTTTTTCTATTTTCCGTCTCGAGGGCAAACCGGTTAGAAGACGGCCACATCTTGCCTCTCGCACAGAATAGAGGGAGGGGGGTCGGGGGGGCCAGGGAGGGTGGGAGGTTGGGAGGGAGGGAGGGAGGGAGGGGGTGGTTGGGGGGATGCGAGTTGGCGAGGGGAAGGGTAGGGAGAGGGAGCGGCGTGTACCAAAGCCCACCCTCCCTATCGTCCAAAATAATACCTTCATTCCCAAATCGCAATGCCCCTCCTCAGCCTCTCCCCTCCCCAGTCGCTGGATGTGAAATGTGTCTCTTTAATGGGGAGCCCTGAGCACTTGAACTATCTCAATCCCACCCGCGAAGAAGAGGCTCTCGAACACGGTCATTACCGGCTGCGGCTGCGGTTCACCCAAAAGAACGGTGGCTCGGGCCCAAAGCCGGGCCCCTGGGACTCGACGCTGTGATGGGAGGACAGGTCGGGGGAGGAGGTGGGGGGGTATTCTGGAGGGCTCAGATCAAATAATAATAATAATAATAATAATAATCCTTGCATTTGATATTGTGTCTTTCGTATCGGGAGGACGTCTCAAAGCGCTTCCCCTGAAGGATTTACTGTCAAGAGCAGTAGTGACTGTGTGTCTTGTAGGTGAACACAGAAGCCAATCTACGCACAAACAGCCATGGAGTGAATAAGACCGATTTTTATCCGGGGGGTTGTTGGCCAAGACACTGGGGGGTGAGGGGTGGGGAGGGAGAGAGAGAAATTCCCTTCTCTTTTTCATATAGTGCCCTGGGAGTTTTTAACACCCATCTGAACAGGCGGGGAGGGGGGGAGGGGAGGGGGGGCGAGTAGGGGGAGGAAAGGGGGGAAAAGGGCAGGGGTTTGGCAATGGTGTTCACTCTAAAACCTGAGAATAACTCAAGTTGGGTTTGGATCACAATTTCTATGCCATGTGATAATTACACCCGGTGCATTATTGCGCCCCCACCCACCCGGAATCCCTCCACCTCAACCTCCCTCACTTGCCTCCGTCACGGCCCGTCTCAATTTCCTTTCTCTTTGATCGTGCTTTCGGCCACCCTCCCAACACCCCCCCCACATCCCCCCACCACCCCACCCACCACCCCACCCCACCCACCAGCTCGGGTGCAAATCCTTAACTGTCCAGTGACTTGGGACATCCTTCTGTCATGAAAAGTGCTGAATAAAGGTAATTTTTTATTGTGTGGTTGTCTGATTCTGTCCATGTGAAGCTCTCCGAGTGGCTACTCTGGGTGAAGGGCGGTGTTTAAGCGCAAGTTTTTGTCGTTGTTGCTGTTGTTGTGAATCTCCAGGTCGTGTAAACACCACAAAAAAAAATCCCACGGCAAATGCTCGCACCGCAACACAACAGGATCGCAAGATCGGTTCGGGTGAAGAAGGCCCTTTGGGTTTGCCCATCTGATCTGGTCCTTCCAGAACCCCTTCCCCATCCGTGGTCCTCTCCCATTGCGGTCTCTCATTCCTAAACGGGTCCCAGTGTCCTGGCCTCAACCACCTTTCCAGGTAAACCCAAATATCCCCACTGATACTTCCTCTCTTCAAAGAAATACATCTTTGCCTATTGACCCTCTGAGCCTACGACGGCGACAACAACAACAACACATCGTCAACAACAACAACAACAACAACTTGGATATATATATATAGCGCCCTCCACGCCGGACGGCGTCTCAGAGTCACATCAGAAAGACGTCCCAAAGCTCTGGAGAACTAGAGATCTGGACCGGAGCTGGTGGTTGGGATCAGGAGGGGTGGAGGGCGAGGTGGGTAGGGGGTAGGAGGGTGACAGAAGGCACAGTTGACGAGGAGGGTCTTGAGATGGGACTTGAAGGAGGGGGGAGGCAGGGGGACTGTACAGATGGCCAGATGATTCTGGTCTCATCTCGGTCAACAAAACCTGCCTCCAAAGCTACTCGGCTTGAACTAAGACCCCGGTTTGACTCGATAGCACTCAAGGGGTTCGTTGGGAGTTTGTAGAATGGACGCGCATTGATGGCCCTGAAAGAGAGTTAACAAAAAGCTGCTGGGGAAATGGGGAGGTGGGGCGCCCCCTGCTGGTGACCCACCCGAGTGGAGGTTAGCTCAGGCCTGCGTGGGGAGGTGGGCTCCCAAAGAAAGACACTCTTTATACCCTTTCTCTCCAGCGTGAGGTGCTATTCTCACTGTCACGTACCCCACTCCCCCCCAAACACCGCCCAACTCCCCCAACAGCGCTTCGGAACCTATTGGGGTAGAAACTCCGGGGGTCAACAAAAGGCGACCATTTTAGTAACAACAAGCCAAGATCCTCCACTGGGGCTGTACCGGGGCCGTTGGAGACACCACGTATCCACCCGTCGGTTTCTCCACATCGGGCTCCCGTGTTACAGTGGTCCCCAAAAATCCAGTTGTGCTCGTGTGGCGACTGGGGACGTGATTCCGTTGCCCCGTCACCGAGCCTTCAGTGAGTCTGCGCCAACGTCCGCAACTTCGCACGTGTCCCACCGGTGGATTCCCGTTTATAATAACGGCAATAATCTTTGCCGGGAGGCGTGAGCGTTTCAAACCCCGCGTGTAGGGCGTTATATCAATGCAAGTTGTTGTTGCTGTGGCTCACGTGTTACATGTGGACATTCGGTGGCGGGTGGGGTGGGGTGGGGGGTGGGGGTGGGAGGGTTGGTGTGGGGGGGAACCCCATTCGCCGGGCGCCCCACTGCCAGGGGCCCCCTCTCTTCCTTGGGGCTGACTGAAATGGCCGACTTCCTGCTCGTCGTGTCGCCGCCGAGGTCACTTCTAGCGATCTGCGTGGCCCGGCATCAAGGAAGTGACATCGCCGATGACCCGATGATCTGGAAAGGCGCCATTTTTTGCCCCAAAAAGGGTGGGATTTTATGGATCCAATGATTACGTTATCCAACCCCCCCCCCACCCCCCAACCACCCCACCCCGTCATAATCACCAACCAACGGGAATAAGTTTTTCTTATTTATCTTCAGAAACCTCTATCACTCCAACTCGTGAACCTAATTAAGTGAGTTGCGCCGTCTAATTATCAATCAACGTCAACCTATCCTGTGCCCTCTCCTTGGCTCGGATGGCCCTCTCCACACACCTTTGTTGCCTCCTAATTAGATTTTCCCAAAGTCTCCTCGCCCGTCTCCTCAATTCCACCATCTTCCCTAAGCTCCAGCTAATCCGAACTCCACACGCCCGTCACCCCAGTCCTCGTCCACTGAGTCCCCCTACAACAACAGCAACTTGCATTTACATGGCGCCCTTCACGCAGAGTAGCGCCTCAGAGCGCTTAACAGTGGCGGAGCCTGACTCTGACCTGGGATGGGTAGGGGGAGAGATGACCGTAAGCACGGTTGATGAAGAAGGTCTAATGGAAAGGAGGGGACAAGGTGGATGGATTGAGGGAGAGGTCCCACTGCATCGATTTCAAGGTCCTCACTCTCACCAGCAATCCCTTCATGACCCAACGCCTCTGCTCACCCCGTTTGCTTGGCCAATTGCCTGTCCCCTGCACCTTCCTGCCACCATCAGTGTCCATGCCTTCAGCTCTGATAAATAATAATAATCCTTGCGTTTGATATAGCGCCTTATACATCGTTGAGACGTCTCAAAGCGCTTCACTGGCTATCCCGGAAAGTGTAGCGACCGTGTATTTCGTGGGCGAAACGCAGCAGCCAATTGCGCACAGCGGTGTCCCCACAAACAGCCGTGGATTGAGTGACCGAATTTATTTTTTTAAGCATTATTACCCCCGGAAAGCGATCCGCACTCGATCCTTCTTGGACTCCCTCCGTCTACCACTCAGAGACGTCACCCTACATACAAGGCGATATGTAAGCACCAGTTGTACAATCTCTGGAAGTCCCATTATTAGAACGTTTCACCTTCATTCAGAAGCCTTTTTAGTCCCCGGTTGGTTCTTAAAAGAAACCGAATCGAAAATCGCCGCCCGATATAAGAAATTTTCATCATTTTTACTCATTCTTACGCTAATATAACAATAGCAATAATAATCCTGACTTCTGATATAGCGCCTTAATCGTGTTGTTGAGACGTCTCAAAGTGCTTCACTGTGAAGTGCAGTGACTGTGTGTTTTGTACGCAAACGTACTGGCGAATTGTGCGCACAGCGACGTCCCCACAAACAGCAACAAGGCGAAGGGTTGATTTTTAGCTGGGGACTATGAGCTCAAAGTCCCAACGTAGGGGCTTGAACCTACAACCTTCTGACTCGGAGGTGAGAGTGCTACCAACTGAGCCAGGCTGACAACTTCAATCGAAACGAATGCTATAATAAAAATAATAATAATCCTTGCGTTTTATATTACATCGAAAGATGAAGCGGTCTGAGAGGCTGAGACTGTCAAGAGAACTTGGGTTTGAAACTCACAACTCAGTGGAATTCTTTGTGCAAGCGTTTATGATGGAGTTCTAACCCTGAAGGTATTTTACGGTGTTTAATGTCCACCTGAACAGGCAGATTGGGACCTTGGTTTAATGTCTTAACGACGACGCCTCCAACAGCTCAACGCTCCCCCCCAGCATTGCGCTGGAGAGTCCACCTGGACTTTTTTTTTGGTTGCGGGGAGGTGGGTGGTGGGGAAGCCATCGAGGGTGTGGCTTGAGCCAAAACAAACCTTCCCGTAGGATCCGGCTTACCTTTAGTTGATAATTGTTTGGAGAAACATGGATACAAAGGGAGAGAGAGGGTTAGATGGATGGACAGGGGAGAGAGGAGGGAGGTAAGAAGTGAGGGAGGGTCAAGAAAATGTGCATTGGGAAACCAGCGACGTAAATAATGGTTCTATATCTCCCTCCACCCTGACACCAACCCCCCACACACCCAAATCTCTCCTCTTCTGCAGGGAACACTGTGTAGATCGTGGGACCTTGTCGTTGATCCCTTGGAATCTGTTGCTGGGGCTGAGCATTGGCGGAGAGGGTGCGGGTGCAAGAGAGGGTGGTGAGTGGGCGTAGCGGGGTGGGGCGGGCGGGTGGGGAGGGGGGAGTTATGGAGTGGGGGGTCTTCATGAAACAATCCGGGAGAACCTAGTATTTAATGGCATTTCCCATCCTGGGTGTGTTCGTTCACCCAATCAGACATCTGTAACAATCACCAGCCCCCAACCCCAACCCCTGCCTACCCTTTGGACAGAACCTGACAATTGTGACCAAGAATTAATCATCCCCCTCTCCAACTCCCGCCACCCCCCCACCTCCTCCCCCAACCACCCACATTACAAAGCCACCATTGGCTTGAGTTTGACCGAACCTTGGACCTTGTTGACCTCCGCACTCGACCAAGTGACAGGAAGTGGTTGATTAATTCCTCCCAGCTGACACGGCTACCAATGGTGTGGACATGCGTTCACAACAGACACGGCCGGTGTTCACGGGCTGAACTTTTTTGACTTACAAGGTAATGGTGGATAGTTCTGACATCTTGCAAACATGGTGATTACCTCTCTGAGGCTTACAGTAGCATTTCTGCACACAGCTGCCAAACACGACAAAGTTGGTTTTCAGTATAGATCCGTATACGGTAAACAATTGACGACTGTGTTTTTTTCTCTTAGTAATGATAATAATAATAATACTCCTGGCATTTGACACGGCGCCTCATCACGTCTTCGAGACGTCTCAAAGCGCTTCGCGGGATACGCTGTAAAGTGAATCGACCGTGGTGTTTTGTGGGCGAAACGCGGCAGCCAATTGCGCACAGCAGCGTCCCCCGCAAACAGCCGTGGGTTGAGTGACCAAATTATTCATTTTTATTTACTGATAAATTCTTTTTTTTTAAAGGAATTATTATCCCCGGAAAGCGATCCGCCAATCAACTAACAACCGGGTTCCTACTGACTGCCGGTAAACAGAGGTGTGTGTGTGTGTGTGTGTGTGTGGAGTGAGGAAACTTCCCCAATGTCTCCCCCTGACCTGCCCGGGAATCAAACCCGGGTCCTCTCGCTCGCGAGGCGAGGGCTCTGACCCCTGAGCTCCAGGGGACTCCTCAATTTAATTTATCATTCATTTTTCTGGAGGGAGAATACCTGTCTTTAAATCCCACCTAAAAACCTACCTCTTCATCCAACCTTCTATCCTACGTGCAAGGACGCTATACAAATGCAAGTTGTTGTGGTTATTCTTACTTGTTAAAGTTAACAACGTCTTAAGAATTTCTCAAGGATTTCTCAAGCAACGTTTATTTAAATTGGTACATAAATTTATTAAAGATGATATTTCTTTATTGTCAGACGATGAGTTCCTCGCGGGCCCAGTCTAGATTAACACAAGAACGCTGAGGAAACCTCACGGTCTCGCCCCAGCCTTAAACACGCGAGAGATTTATAAAAACATCTTAAAATCAGTTGTCGTTTTAGAAACCTGTTTGGGTCACTCAAATCAAAACGATTTTCAGAAACCGAGCCTTGGAAATTGAGTCCTGATTTAAGAATTTGCTAAAATTCTGTCATAATGTAAATAATCAGAATATTACAAATGATAATGCATCGTCCTTACATTTTGGTTGTCCTTATATTTTATACGGAACGCTTCGCGTTAAGCGGTCGTCTCAAAGCGCTTACACAGAATACGCTGGGGAGTGCAGTGACTGTGTGTTTTGCGGGCGAAACGAGGCAGCCAATTTGCTCACATCAACGGCCCACAAACAGCCACAAGGCGAGTGACCAATTTTAATGGGTGGATTGTGGGCCAGGACACCGGGAGGAACTCCCTTCTCTTTTTGAGCCGGGCCTTGGGATCTCTAACGTCCACCTTCACAGGCAGACAGGACCTTGGGTTAATTTCTCATCCAAAGGACGGCACCTCCTACAATCCATGGACCCCAATCCCTCCCAGCACTTGGGAGCATTGGAGCGTCACTTTAGACAATAAGACATGGGGTTAAACCCACAGCATTCTGACCCAGAGGCATGCGTGGCTACACATTGAGCTGAGGGAGGAGGAGAGATGTTATTAACTTGGGTCATTAATACTGATGTTTTTTTATCAGCCGGGTGTCCAACACGCACCGTAAACACATCGCTGTGCTTAAGAGTCTCCCAGCCAGACTGAGAGTTCCACATGTGTATGCCACCCACAGATGGAAAATGAATAATAATAATAATAATAATAATCCTTGCATTTTATATAGTGCCTTATCACGTCCCAAAACGGTTGCTTCACAGAATACACTGTAAAGTAAATTGACTGTGTAATTTGTGGGCGAAATACGGTAGCCAACGGCGCACAGCAGAGTCCCCATAAACAATCGTGGATTGAATATTATTATTTCTTTTAAAAGGGTTTATTACCCCCGGAACGCGATCCACCAATGGACTAACAACCGGGTTCCTTGAAAAGAGCTATCCAACTCAACCCCACTCCCCCGCTCTCTCCCCATAGCCCTGCAAACTTGTCCTCCCCAAATAACAACTCGCTGTGTGAAATCGTTTCTCCTCACCCTCCCCTCTGTTTCTTTGAACAACTATTGTAAATTCAGAGGGGGTCTCACAGAGGTTTATACAACAAGAGGACGCAGGTTTAGAGTTGTAAAGGGTGAGGGGTGGGTGGTGGTGGGGAGGGGGGGCGGTGGTTGAGGCCAGGACACAGGGAATCATTTAAAAAAGCAGGTTGATGCTGTGATGGGGGCAGGCACGGTTGGGTGGGGTGGGTGTGTGTGGGGGTGAGGGGGGGGAGTGAGATCAGATGTGCCGAAGGACCTTCTTCATTCAAAAACCCATCTTTTTTTGTGGCCCACAAAACGGGCAGTCACTACACTTTGCGGTTTATCCTGTGAAGCGCTTCGAGACGTGGTGAGGCGTTGGCTGTATCAAATGCCAGGATTGTTATCTTGCGATCTTTCTCTGTCACAACTGCTCAGGTCGATCGTGATAGCACACGGTGGAGATGGAGAGAGAGAGAGAAACGTGTCCGGGATTCGAACAACAACAACAACAACTTGTACTGTCTATCGCGGGCAGGATGGAGTCCGAGGTGTGAGAGAGAGAGAGAGAGAGAGAGAGAGGGGTGGGGGAGAAAGGCGGTGTAGGGGAGGTGTGGAGGGTGGGAGATCTTTCACTGGGAAAAGTGAAAACAAAATAGCTGGATTTGCCGACGGTGGAAACTACCCATTTAACTACCACCACCACCACCACAACAACAACTTGCAGTTACACAGCGCCCTTCAGAGCAGTGTCTCCGAACGCTTCACAGGGCGGAGCGCGGGGGAGAGTCAGGAGGTGACTGGAAGCATGGTCTAACACAATCCGAAAGAGGGGAAGGAGGGGGGGTGCGAGGCGGAGGGATTGAGGGAGAGAGTTCCAAGGTTTCGGGGCGCAGTGGCTGAAAGCGCGGACGCCGATGGTGGAGAGTAGGGGACGAGGGACAGGAGGAGCAGGAGGCCGGAGCCAACCAAGGGGAGGTAGCGGATAGTGGATTGGGGAGAAAGCAGGTCAGGAGGTGTTTGTAAACGAGTGGCGAGGGTCTTGATCAAGTCGATTGGTGATAGGGAGCCGGTGGAGGCTGGCGAGGGCTGGGGTGAGGGGGGGAAGGGGTTTAGTGTGCGATTGGGAGCCAGTGGAGGCTGGCGAGGGCTGGGGTGAGGGGGGGAAGGGGTTTAGTGTGTGTGATGGGGAGCTGGTGGAGGCTGGCGAGGGCTGGGGTGATGGGGGGAAGGGGTTTAGTGTGTGATAGGGAGCTGGTGGAGGTGAAGGTGAATGCGGAAGACAAATTGCCTGGAACAATAATAATCCTGGCATTTGATACAGCCCCTTATCATGACATTGAGACGTCTCAAAGCGCTTCACAGGATACACTGTAAAGTACATTTTGTGGGCGAAAAGCCCGGAATCCCATGGTTTTGCCGAGTGATAATTACCTTTGCATTTTTGATGCTGCACTTTGTGGCGTTGTCGAGACAGTTTAAAGCGCTTGACTGGATTTTATACACTAAAGTGTAGTGACCGTTGTATTTTGTAGGTGAATCGAGCGGCCAATTTGCACACCAGTGGATTGGGACACCTTGTGTTTGCGAGACAGCGCCAGGGATTTATTTAACGTTCACGTCACATAAAGAAGCCCAGACTGGAGTGCAGAGTCAGTCTGAGACGCCGTGGGTTCCAATTGTCGAAGGCAGGTTTGGCCCCACCACCTTCTGAAAGGAGGTGTTAGGAGGTGACTGACTGGGCCAGGCTGTCACATACAGTCCTCGTATTGACCTTCCTTCCCCTTAAAGCCTGAGCCATGACGTCAAACCCGCAAAATATCAATAATAATATTAATAATTATTATCACTCCTTTTGCTACAGCACGTCACAAAGCTCTTCACAACGTCACCCGTCACTGGGGTCTTTACATTACACTGCGAGACGGGAGTTAGACTCGTAGAAGGAACAGAATGAGGCCATTCAGCCCTTCAAGCCTGTTCTACCGCTTGATTCCATTGATCAATTCACTACATATACAGTGTATCCCATGAAGCGCTTTGGGACGTCTCGAAGACGTGATGAGGCGCTACGTCAAATGCAAGGATTATCATTATTATTATTAGATCTTGACAGATCTTTTAATCCCAGTGCCTTGCCTTTTTGCTTCCCCCCCCCGCCCCCTCCTCCCATTAAAACCTCCACTGCCCTTTATAATTCAACTGAAGCTTTCTAATAATAATAATGATAATCTTCGCATTTGATATAACAAGGAGCTCATGTTGAACAAAGAGAGAGAGAGCAGCAAAAACACAAGATCGACTTGGGGACGTACAAGATCCTCTGACCTATTTAATCTCCTTGCGACAGCTAATCACGGGTCAAAGTGTCAACGGGGAGAAGGACTATGTTCAGTGATCAGCGCGACATTTTAATGCGGGTCGTAATATTGAAGCTGAGTCGAGACGCACCTCACTTCCTATTGATGTTACTGTTTGCCTCGAGGATTTCAATTACCATCTCGTTACTTCAATTACCCCATTGGGGTCCCCAGTGGAGGAAGAGACTGGACTATTTCAGACTTGTCTGGCAGTCAATTTATCTTCTCTGGTCAGCCTGACACGCACACACGCACACACACGGAAACCCATCGCTGTGGGCCAGACTCCACACCAAGCTGAGATTTCCATGTTTGCCACCTACACTTGGAAACGTTCTTGAGCGTGGAATAGAATATGCACACTCTCTCTCTCTCTCTCTCTCTCTCTCCCTCTCTCTCTCCCTGGATGGGGCTGGGGGTTGCTTCCTGCTTACCTAGTTCCGGACAGTATTAGGCATAGGTTGGCAAGGTCCAAGGCTTGGGGTGGGGGGGGGTGGGGGGGGGGGAGAGCCGAGAGTGTGCATTGGGGGTAACTGCTAACCAACTAAACACAGGATACATTGTAAAGTGAATCGACTGTGTATGTTGTGGGCGAAACGCAGCAGCCAATTGAGCACAGCAGCGTCCCCGCAAACAGCCGTGGGTTGATTGACCACATTAATACTCAAAGCGGTGGGTGTTATCGGGGGGGGGGGGGGGGAGAGGGGTAGATTGATAAGCCATGGGGGGGCTAGTTTGCGAGATCCTCAGAACAATTAGCAAAAAGGCACAGACTCGCTCGATCGCTGTCTCTCTCCTCCCCACTAAGCCCCACCATCGCTTCAGATGTTAATCCCTTCATGCCATGCTATTGTGCGGGGGCGGCGGGGTGGGGGTAGAGGGGGGGGAGGGTGTGGTTAGGGACTGAGCTGGGTGGGGAAACAAACTTGTGGAGGTTGACCTCCAACCAGGAGTGAGAGTTCAATAATGGAAGTGGGATGTGTGTGTGTGTGCGAGTGTGTGTGTGTGCGTGGGGCAGGTGAGGTGGGGGGGGAGGGGACTTAGATCTCATTCCCCCCTTCCCACAACAATGGGAGATATCTGAACGACCCTACTCACCCCCCCCCCCACCCCACTCCCCATCCCCACATCCCAAATCAGGTTAAATAAAAAGATCCCTCTTTTATCTCAGCTCAACCCAATTCAACTCAATCCAACCCAACTCAGCCCAATCCAACCCAACTCAACCCAACCCAACCAACTCAACCCAACCAACTCAGCCCAATCCAACCCAACTCAACCCAACCAACTCAACCCAACCCAACCCAACTCAACCCAACCCAACTCAACTCAACCCAACCCAACCCAACTCAACCCAACCCAACCCAACCAACTCAACCCAACTCAACCCAACCCATCTCAACCCAACCAACTCAACCCAACTCAACCCAACCCAACCCAACTCAACCCAACCCAACCCAACCAATTCAACCCAACTCAACCCAACCCAACCAACTCATTCCAACTCAACCCAACATAACCCAACTCAACCCAACCCAACCCAATCCAACCCAACCAACTCAACCCAACCCAACCCAACCAACTCAACCCACCCCAACTCAACCCAACTCAACCCAACTCAAACCAACCCAACCAACTCAACTCAACTCAACTCAACCCAACCCAACCCAACCAACTCAACTCAACCCAACCCAACCCAACCCAACCCAACCCAACCAACTCAACCCAACTCAACCCAACTCGACCCAACCCAATCCAACCCAACCAACTCAACCCAACCCAACCCAACCAACCAACCCAACCCAATCCAACCCAACCAACCCACCCCAACCAACTCAACCCAACCCAACCAAAGCAACCCAACTCCACCCACCCCAACTCAACCCAACCCAACTGAACCCAACCAACTCAACCCAACCCAACTCGATCCAACCCAATCCAATCCAACCAACTCAACCCAACCCAGTTCAACCGAACTCAACCCAACCCAAGTCAACCCAACCAAACCCAACCAACTCAATCCAACCCAACCCAATTCAACCCAACCCAACCTAACTCAACCCAACCCAACTCAACCCAACAACCATTAACTTAAGTCAATGTGTGTGCAGCAAGCAGCCAGAGATAAAAGATCGACTTACAAGTAAATGCTGGATTCATTCCCTCCGATGTCGGGTGACTGCAGCTTTTGAACGAGAATAAATATTATCCCAATGAACAGGATGAAGTTGACCTGTGTAATGGAGAGGCACGAACATAAGAATTTGCTGGACGAAAGCGTTTCAAGTGCTCTGGAACTCTCCCCTATCGGAGGGGCGCCAATATAAATGCGAGTCGTTGCTGTTATTGTTGTTGTTAAAAGAAAACGCAAGGTCCCACCAGTTCATCTTCCACCATCCTTGCACACATCGTACCCCAAACTATACATTATTTATTCCCTAAAAGAAATCTATCTGATTTGTTCTTGAAAGAATCAACACTTCCTGCTTCCACCGTCTGTCTCTCTCGGGAGCCTGTTCCATACATTTACTGCTCGCTCATCGAAGTAGATTTGATCTGAGTTTACCCCCCGCCCCCACCCACCATTGTAAGAGCGGGAGTAATGCAGGGTAGAGGACAGCAATTACGAATCATAGAATTAATGACTAGTGCGAAGAAATCTGCTTTGGATTGGAAATCAATGTGATTTATGTGAATGTACGACTTAAGTGAATATATCATTTACAAAGATAAAACTTAGGGGAGATTTACTGCATAAATTTACATTTAACAACAACAACAGGCGTAGACACTGTGGGGTGGAATTGAGTTTCACAGGGTGGGGGCAGAGAGGGGTACGTTGACCGTAAACAAGGTCGAAGAGGAAAGTTTATTATTACTACTCACAAGGGTAAGGCCTATTATTATTTTAAGCTCCAGCACGTACCATGATTGATCCGATGACCGGTCCCTTTATGACCCACCAGAGAGCCCGATTTTCATTTGTTTCCCAACATCTGGCGAGAGAAGAGAATGGAGACATTTACTGAGCATTTCACATCCGTAACCCACACTGTTGGCCTATAATACAATAGCAATCCTTATTTGACCCAACGGCTTATCACGTCGTCGAGATGTCTCAAAGCGCTTCACAGGATAGACTGTAAAGCGAATTGGCTGTGTGTTTTGTGCGCCCAGCACAGTCGTGGGTTGAGTGACCAAACTTTTTTTGAAGGGATTATTACCGCCGGAAAAGCGATCCACCGATCGACTAACGACCGGGTTCCTACTGGTTGCTGGTAAACAGAGGCGCGCGTGTGTGTGTGTGTGTGTGTGTGTGTGTGTGTGGAGTGAGGAAACTTGCCCAATGTCTCGCCCTGACCTGCCCGGGAATCGAACCCGGGTCCTCTCGCTTGCGAGGTGAGGGCTCTAACCCCTGAGCTACAGGACTTAACTCCCGGCTTAGCAGACGGACAACAGCTGCTTACCCAGAGTCATCAACGTGCAGACGCAAGATGGTCCAAATGGTCACACAGATCGTTGGGGTACCTGAACGATAAAATCATCGAATATTTCTTAAATAATAATAATAATAATCTTTGCATTTGAGATACCACGTCTTCGAGGAACGGACTGACTGTGCGTTTTGTGGGCGAAACGCGGCAGCCGATTGCGCACAGCAGCGTCGCCGCAAACAGCCGTGGGTTGAAGTGACCAAATTATTACTATTAGAAGTATTATTTTTTTGAAGGAATTTTTTGTTTTGAAGGAAAAGACGCTGATGAAAGACACTCACCCCATCCGATGAGGATGTACCAATAAAAGTATCTTCGCTCCGGAAAGAAGGTCTCGACGAGCAGAGTGAAGAGGTAGAGACCTTCGATGAACAGCCAGAAGTAGTTGGACATCACGCAGTAATGGAAGAAGACCATCATGGCTTTGCAGTGCACCTGAAAGCAATGGGGGAAAGCAATAACAATAATAATTAAGAATTAATAATAATAATCCTGGCATTTGGTACAGCGCCTCATCACGTCTTCGAGACGTCTCGAAGCGCTTCACAGGATACACTGCAAAGTGTAGTGACTGTGTGTTTTTACATCTTGTACATATGATACATATTTAACCGGTTGTTAGCTCACTCACTACTTCCTTCTCCCTCTCCCTCCCTCTCACCCTCTCTCCCTCCCTTTCACTCTCTCTCCCTCCCTCTCACTCTCCCTCTCTCTCTCTCTATCTCCCTCCTTCTCTCCCTCCCTCCCTCCCTCCCTCTCTCCCTCCCTCCCTCCCCCCCACCCTCTCACCGTGGAGATGGAGCAGTGGTTGGCATCTTCCTCTGAGTACAGAATGGCGTCTTTGATGAAGACCGAGATGGCTCGGAGGATGAAGGACATGAACAGGTTCATGTGGATGTAGTTCCGAGTGCAGTGAAGCTTCCTGGAAAGGCGGGAGAATCCGTGAGCGGACGGCAGAGTTCCACCTGATCGACGCGAGGGCTTCGAGCCCCATCTTGGGAGAACCGGGGCGGGGCGGGGGGGGGGGGTGGGGGGGTGGGGATGAGCTCTGTATTATCATACGCAACAGTGTTGTGCAGTGACTGTGTATTTTGTAGGCACAAGCGTTAGTCCATTGACGCTGATGTGAACGATCAATTTTTATATTGGTGTTGGGGGTGGGGGTGGGGGTGGGGGGGGGCGACGTTGTGGTGGAGAGGGGGTTGGTGCTGGTGGGAGGGAGAGGGGATTGTTGGCCAGAACACCGAGAGAGAGAGAGAGAGAGGGAGAGAAAACACCTTCTCTTTTCAAGTCCTCTCACGCTACCTTTAACGCACACACACTCACACACACACTTACACACTCACACACACTCACACACACTCACACACACACTCACACACACTCAAACACACACTCACTCACACACTCACACACACTCACACACACACACACACACACACACACACTCACACACACACTTACACACACACACTCACACACACACTCACACACACACACTCACACTCACACACACACACACTCACTCACACACACTCACACACGCTCTCACACACACACACACACACTCACTCACACTCACACACACTCACTCACACACACTCACACACTCACACACTCTCTCACACACACACACACACTCACACTCACTCACACACACACATCCAAATACAGACTTCTACTTAAACCCTCGGACTGAATGCACTCTCAAGTAACTTCGAAGTACACTCATCATCAATCTTCCACATGTGTCAGTTGTTGGTCAGCGCGAAGGGTAAGAAACACTCAGGGGGGGGTAACAGGACTTTGATGGACACCCTGTTAAAAGTTCCTTCTCAACCCCAGAAAGGTGAACCCCCCCCTTCTCCCCCCAGAAAAAAAACGCTAACCACAGGGAGACCCGGTTAGAGTGCCACGGTCCGGTGTAAACACAGTTAAACCCTTGCTTATGTGCATGGATTATTATTATTATTATTATTATTATTATTATTATATATTTGATTTTAACGCTGGGATTTAACAACGAAATGGCCGCCGGTTCAAGGGAATTTACCGAAACCGGCAAAGGATGATCATAGCCGTTGCCAGGGACACCAAGGAAGTGCTGTAGCCGACGGTGTAAAGTGCCTGGACCGACACAAAGTACAAACCCTTCGGAGAGAGGGAGAGAGAGAGAGAGAGAGGGAGAGAGGGAGAGAGGGAGAGTGAGCGAGAGCACATCAAACGCTCAGCAAAACTACGCCTTGACAAGACACCGACATCTAATATTACAACGCAATTTACATTCAACCGCGCCCTGAGGTCAGGATGTTGCAAAGCTCTTCACCGTGCCGGCTGGGGTCTCGGGGATGGAGACAGGAGCCATTTAGGGGCGGGGAAGGGAGAGATATTTCCGCGGCACAAAACGTACAGTCACTGTGAAGCGCTTTGAGACGTCAAAGTGAGACTTTGAGACACCTCTATATAGTCTGATCTTAACAGTGACACCTCTATATCGTCTGATATTAACAGTGACATTAATATATATATATATTACAGGCTGACAGACTGTGGGTCTGACAACCTCACCGCTTATAAAGAGCTTTTACCTGATCGTCCACATCGGTTTCGTTGTCGTCGTCAACCCCGCAAGCGTCGTAGTAATGCGGGAAGGTTTCGGACCAGCCCTCCTCGGTGCAGTTTCTATAGATAAGCTCCAAAGCTGGAACGGTCCCCCCCCACGGGTTTCCGGGAAAGGACGAGGAGACAGAAAGGACGTAATAACGTAAGAATTTTGCCGGCCAAGGTCCATCCAGTTGGCCTCCCCCCCATCCTGGCCATCACTTTGACACGTCACGTCCCACCCAAACTACACACTCTATCCCCGAGAGATTATTTTCGAGCGGAAATCGATTTGTTCTTGAAACAACAACAACAGCAACAGCAACAACAACAGCAAATCACATGTCGATTAGCGCCTTTCGCGTCGGGATGACCTCCCAAGACTCTGGTCGGCGGAGGCTTTGCACCCGAGACGTGTGCTGGCATCAGAGAGAGGGGGGCGAGAGGACAAGGTGGTAGAGAGAGGGAAAGATGACCGAAGATGCTGTCAAAGAGGAAGATCTTGAGAAGGGCCTTGAAGGAGGCAAGGGAGGGGTGGTTGGGGGGGGTTGGGGGTGGGGGGCTGGCGGTGGGTCGAGGGGTGGAGGGGCTCCGGCAGGGAGTTCCAGAGGTTGGGGACGGGATGGCTGAAGGCCAGACCGCTGATGGTGGAGTGAGTAGGACGGAGGATATGGACTCCTGACCAGTCTGTCATTTAGTGTTAAGAATCGGATAAAATTGTCCCATGGATAAGGTTCCTCCCTCCTTTGTTTAAGGTTCCTTCGGGTAAGGATAAGGTTCCTCCCTTCAGATAAGTATAAGGTTTGCCCTCGATAATGTTCTCCCCCATAATGTTCCCCTCAAATAAGCTTTCCCCCCAATTGGAAGCAGATAAGGTGGAGGGGTTGCCCGAAGGCGCGGTCAAAGAAGAAGGTCTTTAGACGGGATGTGAAGGAGGCAAGAGAAGTGGGGGAGGTGAGGTGAGGCGGAAGGATTGCGGGATAGAGTTCCAGAGTGTGGGGGCAGAGGTGTTGATGCCCCAAGTTTGCATGTCTCACCCTGGTCAGTGTTGATAATCCTGAAGAACAGTGGACAATTGACCGACATAATGTCTCCGTACACTGTGTATGGCCAGCAAGTTATGTTATCCCACATGCCAAGACATCCTGAGAGAGAGAGAGAGAGGGCAAAGGGTTAAACAGTGCTCGTCAACCATCAACTCACGGACTGTCACCATTGTTTAAATACAGCCGCTAAATAATAATAATAATAATAATAATAATAATCCTCCCCTTTGACCTTATCAGCGCCTTATCGCGTCTTGGAGACGTCTCAAAGCGCTTCACGGGGGCACACAGTAAAGTATAGTGACTGTGTGTGTGCGCTTTGCGGGCCAACGGGTGGTGGGCAGCCAATTGCGCCCAGCGACCTGCCCACAGACAACAGTGGCCGGTTGGTAATGTATGACGGGGCTGCAGTTGGCAGAGGGAGTGCAGATCACCGGATGGACACAGGGTGGAAGCAGTGTGCAGACACCAATGGTTTCCCTTGGCGTTGGGGGCAGTTGGGATGGATTGATTAGCTTCTTTGTTGAAGGCGGAGGGACTTCCTGAGCCGGCACCACAATTCCCTTTAGTCAGCCTCATCCCACCCACTCAATCGCTGTCAAGCGAACAGCAGGCGAGGGGAAGAGGGGGCTCGGGGCCGGTGGGTGGGGTTGGGAGGGTGGTGGCGGGGGATGCGGTGGGGGGGGGTGGTGAGACTGTGCTTCTCGAGAGCACAATATAGTTGGATGAAAGGCTCACAGACAATCTGCCGCTCCACGGTCGAGGGGGGAAGAGCTTCCAAGGATTTTTGCCCCTTAACAATCGGACATCAGCCCAGGCATTAAAATGGATGTTTTTTTTCTTTCTTTTTTGGGGGAAAAGAAATGTTTTTCGTACAGTTTCTTTATCTCCTTTTTTCTCCTACCCCTCTCCCTCCCTCCCCATCTCCCCCACGCCACCCCCGTTTCCCCCCGCCCCTCCCGCCCCGAAGGAAAATCTTATGTTTTTCCCCCTGGCTCGGGCGGTAGAAAGCTCCCACGCTCTTGAACCGCGCCAGGTTGTGGGTTCGAACCCCCATCGGTGGTGGCGGTACTTTCAGCGCCCTAATTTATGGGACCTCTCCCTCAATCCCTCCCCCCCACCCCCCCACTCCTTCCCCACCTTCAGGAAACCCCTGAAGGCCTTCTTCTTTGACCAGGCATATGGCTATCTCTGTCTCCTCCTCATCATCTCTCTCTCTCTCTCTCCCTCCCTCTCTCTATCTCCGTCTTTCCCTGTCTGCTTCAGTTATGGGTCCGTCCGTCCGTCCGTCTGTCTGTCTGTCTGTCACATTGCCTGCTTCTTCTCGAAAAAGGACATAACTCCTTCAAAAGAAATAATAATTGGTCACTTCAACCCCCGGTTGTTTGTGAGACGCTGCTGTGCGCAATCAGCTGCTGCGTTTCGCCCACAAAATACACAGTCACTTCACTTTATAATAACTATATTGCGTGAAGCGCTTTGAGAGCTCTCAATAATGTGATAACGCGATAGTAATAATTTAAGTCTTGCATCTGACACGGGACCTCGTCACGTCTTCGAGACGTCTCAAAGCGCTTCACAGCATACACCGCGAAGTGAAGTGACTGGATGTTTTGTGGGCGAAACACATACATTCGAACGCAATGATTATTATCATTGTTGTTATGATTAACACGGGAGTTAATTTAGGGCCCAGCGATGTCCCACGAAGCATCTGTGAAACACAGTTCCCCCCCAGGTATCCAGGGGACCGACCCCCAGTACAGATCGGTTGTGTTTGATGGCGAAAGAGGTTAATGTGTCATCGAGTAGAAGCTGCAGACGGTCTGACTGTGCAGAGCTCCATCTGTTCGCAGAAGTCACACCTACGCCGAGTTCTCTTCATTTCAGTCGCTGCATCCACTTCAAAGTCCTCACGTCTGATAACAATAGTCATAATAATCCCGGCATTTGACACCCAGCGCCTTATCACGTCTTCGGGACCTCTCAAAGCGCTTCACAGAATATACCGTAAAGTGTAGTGACTGAGTGTTTTGCGGGCGAAACGCGGCAGCCGATTGCGCACGGCAGCGTCCCCACAAACAGCCGCGGGTTCAAGCGACCGAATTAATATCATTATTATTCTCTATTTCGAAGGAATTTTGACCCCAGGAAAAAGCCATCCGCCAACCGACTAACAACCGGGTTCCTCCTGACCGCGGGGCAAACAGAGGCGCGCGCACGCGCGTGTGTGTGTGGGGGGTGTTGGGGGGTGTGTGTGTGTGGGGGTGTGTGTGTGTGGGGGGGGGGGGTTGTGCGGGTGTAATCCATTCACAAAAATGGCAAATTTCAGTTGTGTTTCTGCGCTCTTTAAAAGTGGGTTCTCCTCCCGGCCAAACCCGGCCCCTTTCGGACACCGTGATCCGTTGGTAAAGACGGAGGGATTCTTACCCAGCTGGGGGTCGGCGTACCCCTCTTCCTCGATCAGCCTGTTCAGACATCGCTCTCGGTCTCGCTTGATCATGCATTCCGGGTGAAAGCCACAGACCTGCGAAACCATCGGCAATCGGGCAAAGCGTCACATTGATCCCGACGCTCGCTACAGCTCCTTATCGTGGAATCACAGAGTTATACGGCACAGAAGGGAGGCCGTTCGGCCCCGATCAACCCCACTCCCCCCGCGCTCTCCCCACAGCCCTGATCAACCCCACTCCCCCCGCGCTCTCCCCACAGCCCTGATCAACCCCACTCCCCCGCTCTCCCCACAGCCCTGATCAACCCCACTCCCCGCGCTCCTCCCACAGCCCCGATCAACCCCACTCCCCCGCGCTCTCCCCACAGCCCTGATCAACCCACTCCCCCGCGCTCTCCCCACAGCCCTGATCAACCCCACTCCCCGCGCTCTCCCACAGCCCTGATCAACCCCACTCCCCCGCGCTCTCCCCACAGCCCTGATCAACCCCACTCCCCCGCGCTCTCCCACAGCCCTGATCAACCCCACTCCCCCCGCGCTCTCCCCACAGCCCTGACCATCCCCACACCCCCGCGCTCTCCCCACAGCCCTGACCATCCCCACACCCCCGCGCTCTCCCCACAGCCCTGACCATCCCCACACCCCCGCGCTCTCCCCACAGCCCTGATCAACCCCACTCCCCGCGCTCTCCCCACAGCCCTGATCAACCCACTCCCCCCGCGCTCTCCCCACAGCCCTGATCAACCCCACTCCCCCCGCGCTCTCCCCACAGCCCTGATCAACCCCACTCCCCCGCGCTCTCCCCACAGCCCTGATCAACCCCACTCCCCCCGCGCTCTCCCCACAGCCCCGATCAACCCCACTCCCCCGCGCTCTCCCCACAGCCCTGATCAACCCCACTCCCCGCTCTCTCCCCACAGCCCTGATCAACCCCACTCCCCCGCGCTCTCCCCACAGCCCTGATCAACCCCCACTCCCCCCGCTCCCCCCACAGCCCTGATCAACCCCACTCCCCCGCGCTCTCCCCACAGCCCTGATCAACCCACTCCCCCCGCGCTCTCCCACAGCCCTGATCAACCCCACTCCCCCGCGCTCTCCCCACAGCCCTGATCAACCCCACTCCCCCGCGCTCTCCCTACAGCCCTGATCAACCCCACTCCCCCGCGCTCTCCCCACAGCCCTGATCAACCCCACTCCCCCGCGCTCTCCCCACAGCCCTGATCAACCCCACTCCCCCCGCGCTCTCCCCATAGCCCTGATCAACCCCACTCCCCCGCTCTCTCCCCACAGCCCTATCAACCCACTCCCCGCTCTCTTCCCCCCATAACTCTGCAAAACTTGTCCTCCCCAAATAATGATCTATTATAGTTATTATGGCCACCTCCCTACCTCTCCGACCTGCTTACTCCACCTGCCCCCACCTCCCTCGGCCGGCTCTGGCCTCCTGCTTGTCCCTCGTCCCCTCTTCGCTCCACCATCGGCTTTCAGCCACTGCGCCCGGGAACTATGCGACTCTCTCCCTCGATCTCTCTGCCTCTACCCCCCTTCCTCAAGACCCTCCCTTCTTCAAACCGTGGCTACAGCCAGCCCCTCCGCCTCCCCCCGCTCCCCCCCGACCCCTGTGTCGTGTTCCTCCAGCGTTAAGCGCTCCGAGATGTGTTGTTGTTTCAAGTAATTGCTCCCTTACACAGCAGGAGATAATGTACAGGGGGCCACACACCACCCCCACCCCCCCACATCCCCCCATTCCCCAAAGGCATTGACCCAACTCAAAATAATCCCAATCTGCACTTAAACCTCCGCTTCCAGGAATCCATCCAGTTTTACAATCCCCCCCCCTCCCCCCCCCAATAACATCGGACATTCACTCAACGGCTGTTTGT